TGTAGACCCTGCCAGTGCAGAAAGCCCCCTCTGCTGGCCACCAGCCCCTCTCCTCAACTTCACCAGCAATCTCAACTCCAGAGCCAGGCCCTACAGAGGAAAGCAGCCGTTGATAGAACAAAAGGGTTCCACCATCTCCCTGGGCTCTTCCTGTCCGGCAGAAGCTTCCGTCCCCACAGCTTTCACTGAGGTAAAGTCCACAGTCCCCCTTCTCCCATATTTGCTCTGAGGATCTCTTCCTTTCGTGTTTTAAGCTGCAGCAGTCTCCCATCCTCCTGTGTAAATCTAACCAGCCAATGGAGATGTAGCAAGGCGAGAGAAAACCACCTTCCTGTCTTCAACAGTCCTATCAGCATGCCCTCAGACAGCTGAACCGCCCTGGAGAAAACAGCTGATCACACATGACTGAGCCCCGCCAGGACAGCCCTGTCATTCTGCCTCACGGTGTATCTAAGCACCCAGGTGTGTGACCTCTACCCCACCCCACCCAACCCCACCATCCCAGAGGACTCTGACAAGTGGAGCCAAAGACCACAGAGGAGTTGCCTGGAAGGGGAGGGAAAGTCCAATGAATGAATTTAGGTAAATTTCCAAACAACGTCCCCTCCAATTTCCACATAACTGGACAATGTACTGCGTTATCCACGGACGCTAAACACCAGAAAGGAAGCAGGTGTTCAACTTCCCAGCAGAAGCAGAGAAGAGCAGCCGCCTTTCTGCAGACCTTAGCAAAAGCGCCAGGTCTCCAAGGCTACTATTTCAGCCGGAAAAGGCCTGAGCACTGGAGATGGCCGCGGCTGCGGGTGGGAGGATCACGTCCCCCATCCCTGAACCACTTCCATCCTCTCTGGTCCCAATCATCCTGTCTGCTTTGATTAAATACTTCACACGCTCCATATATAACTGTCTTTTTCACTTCTGGGTTTTTTTCCCCCTAAAGTAATGACTGTCCACTGCAGAAAGTAGGGGTGGAGGGAAAAGCAGGTGTCAGGACCCCCAAAACCTGCCCATTAATCACCACTATGGCCTGGGGCTGGGAAGATACTTCCCAGAGTAAGACCCTAGGCTGACCCCAACATTGCTTTTAGTCAGGGCTTTCTGTCACTTCCTTGTCCTGGGATCTCACCAATCCCTAGTTCATCATCTATGAAACAGGGGGCAATACCAAGAATAAGTGATATACACAGAAGTGAAGAGCTGGGGTGCTGCTAGCATAGGCGCTGCCTAGCAACCAAAGAGCAGTGCCATTGCTTACCAGCAATCAGGAAAGGATAATGGTCCACCAGAAACCTTTCGGCACCAACAAGAGGGGTGTGGGCGTGTTTTCCTCCAGAGGTACCAATGGAAAGTACCATGAAAAATCCAATTCCAGGATCAATGGAGCTGCACTCAGTTCCTTTATCTAGAAACTGGGAAAACACTGTGCTATAATTTGACTACATTACAGTCCAGCAAGAACCAATGACATCGGGTGGGGGCGTGGCTTGCCTTGGGGAGTGAGAGCCAAGCACCTGCCTCCAGAGAGGATCAACTGGGGAAGAAAAAGAAGTTCACTTCTTCAAAGAAAGGACTGTAACTGAATCCTGAGCCTGGCTTCTGTAAAAATGTCACGCCCAATATCATGCAACATAAACAAACCAATGATGGTTCTTATTTTCCCAAGTACATTAGCTTAGATAGCCTTTTAATCTGCTCTTACGACCAGCTTCAAGAAGGGAGGAGACACACGTGGTGGCTCCCTGCCGAGCCCAGAGCAGAGTCCAGGACTGCTACTCCTGCCTGCTGGTCCAGCTTCAGGAATCCTGGCCACTTCTCAGATGTCACTGCCTGGGAAAGTTAAGTAATGATTCTAGTTCCACTTGGACATGCCAATGCACCAAGTAAAATCCTCACCTCCAAGAGCAATCAACACACACACACACACACACACAAGAGTAATCAACACCCCAGAGGCAGAGGCAGAGGCAGGCAGATCTCTGAGTTCGAGGCCAGCCTGTTCTACAGAGCTAGTTCCTGGACAGTCAGGGTTACAGAAAGAAACCCTATCTCGAATCATCCCCCCCAAAAAAGTAATCAACAGATGGAAGAAAGGGTTGGCTCCCCTACTGAATGGCAGTTAAGAAAGGCCATCCTTTCTTTCACAATGCCAACACTGGACCTGGAGAGATGGCTCAATGGTTAAGAACACTCACCTCTCTTCCAGAAGACTAAAGTTCAGCTCCCAGCACCCATGTCAGGCAGCTCACAACCACTTGTAACTCCAGCTCGAGGATCTGACACCCTCCTCTTGTCTCCAAGGGCGCCTGCACACATGTGACACACATGTGATACACACAGAGACACACTCACACTCCCCTGTAAATAAAAATAACTATTTAAAATGGCAACATATTGCTGGGTGTAGTGGGTCACACGGGTCATCTCCGCACTCGTGAAGTAGAGGCAGAAGGATCAGGGGCTCCCTTGCCACAAAGCAGAATTAGGCAGGTCATCCTTGGCTATATAAGGAGTTCAAGGCTAGCCCAGACTATACAAGAACCTATCTTAAAAAAAAAAAAAAGGAACACACGAGGGTCAGATATAGTGGTAATTCCAGCACTGAGGCAGAAGCTTCGAGGGTGCAGAATCAGCCTGGGTTCTTAGCAAGTTAAAGCCAGACTGGAATAAACATAAAGAGACCCTGTCTCCAAACAAACCAACCAACGAACAACAACAAAAAATGTATAAGGCAGATGGAAAACCTCAGTTTTCCTTCTTTGATTTCTCCCAGTCTATAAGTGTTTCACTTACAACCTCCTATTAAAATGTCTAGAAAGCTAAGACGTGGGAGAGGGAGGGAGGGAGGGGAGCTGATCTCCCAGTGCACAGAAAGGAGGAGGAGAGGCTCAACTCCATCCCCACCCAGGTTTTCCAAAGAACACCTAACATGTACCCTCAGCACTGTGCAAAGAACACCTCCATGTCCTCAAACCGTGAGAAGAACACCTACTATGTCCTCAGCACCATAAAACACCTACTATGTCCTCAGCACTTAATAAAGAACACCTACTATGTTTTCATCACCATGAGAACACCTACTATGACCTCAGCACCATAAGAACACCTACTATGTCCTCAGCACCGCAAGAACACCTACCATGTCCTCAGCACCATAAGAACACCTATGTCCTCAGCACCACGAGAACATCTACTATGTCCTCAGCACCGCGAGAAGAACACCTACTATGTCCTCAGCACCATGAAAAGAACACCTACTAAGTTCTTAGCACCGTGAAAAGAACACCTACTAAGTCCTCAGCACTGTGAGAACACCTACTATGTCCTCAGCAACGTGAAAAGAACACCTACTAAGTCCTCAGCATTGTGAGAAGAATACCTATTATGTCTGCAGCACTGCGGGAAGCACCCTTCCCTCATGATCTTCTCTCCCACACCTAGAAACCACAGGATACAAACATCCTGGTAGGCGAAAGCCCCAACAGGCTGGCAGTCAAGTTTTAGACTTCTCAACAGACGGCCCTATCCTAAACACAGAAAAGAGCTCTAGCTGAGGCACCAGATCCAAGTTCTAAACAATTCTTTGCGGAACCACCCACCAAACAGTCATAGCTGTAATTCTGAAATCAACTCCTGCTACTTAGTACACCGCTAAAAGATACTTTAAGACTTTTACAACCTAGCGCCTAAGAAAAGCTCACTGTAGGGCTAGAAGAACTGACTTGAGTGCATGTGGCAATCAAGAACGAAATTTATGACATCCTCTTAAAGGCTCTAGGGAGACACGCTCACAGAAGGCAGCCACAAAGAACAGCATCCTCGGTGGCTGGGTCTTGGGTGAACTTATTCCTGCTGGCAGCAGCAATCTGTAAGATGTCTTTCCCGTCATAAAACCTCACTCTCACCATCAACCCAAATGATTGTGTGTGCGGCAGACTGTCAAATGGGGCCAAACACACACTGATGTCCTGGTATTTAAATGCTATCCTCTCCATCCACGGCGCACTTTAAATAAACAAATACCACTGTCTGAAATGATCTCCGCTGCTCTGCATTAACCCATTTCACACAAGCCATAATTAATGTCTGACTTAAGCACTAAAATCAAAGCAATACGGATGTGGTGTGTATTCTTGGAAACAACTTTCTGTCTCCAGACTCGGGAGGAAAAAAAAAAATCAGTCAAGATACAAGGCTGACCCACGACCCCAATTGCGCCGAGGCGCCTGAAGGACCCCTTCTTCCCAGCAACAATTGTGAAAGAGCTGGATGATGCGGTCCCTGCCAAGTAGAGACGCCAAAACCTGCAATCGGCCATCACGCCGGCTGGCTGTCTGAGAACACCAGACAAACCCATATCTGGGTAGGGCTCTCCAAGGTTATTCTTAAGCGAGGGATGTCTAGTGTGCCACGGGAACCTCCAACAGTGTTGTCACTTTGAAAGGCAGTTAGGAAGGGGGGGCGGGGGGTGGCGCTGAAATAAGAGGCCCCGGTGGTTGCCTGCACCCCACTCAGTCTACCACCAGACGGAAATGTCAAGAGTTCCCTCGTGGCCACCTGCCATAACGACCTCAGCAACCTACACACTGCGCCTACTGGGATCCAGACTAGTGACATGGGGAGCGCAGTCCCACTCCGGGCTGGGTCTTCACCCCTACAAAGCCGCCTTGGGCACACCCAGTACAAGCCGCTTATTCCTGTTCCTACTAGCGAGATAGCTCTCTTGAGTTCCCCCAGGGCGCGACCTGACCTAGCACCCGATTTCTGGAGGTCAGGGACCCGGACACGGCAGCGCGGGAAGCGCAGAGGGGCTTCCTCGCCGCACGCGTCCGCCGGAGGCAGGCTCCAGGCACAGGGCGGGCCGGAGGTTCGGGGCTGCCCGGCAGGGTTGTCTCCAGCCACACATCGCGCCCAAAGCCACCCGGGACCCAGCCGCCGACCCCCGGTACACCGAAGCGCAGCGTGGGCGGGATGCGGCTGTTCTCCAGGAGCGCAGTGCTCACCTCTGTTTCATCCTGCTGTGTCCTCGTGGCCGGCGGGGCCACCCAGCCGCGCGCCGGGACACGCAGCCGCAGCCCCCGCGCGCTAGCCCGCAGCGTCCGGCGCGGCAGCAGCGGCGGCGGCGGCAGGAGCGGCGCCGCCGGGGCGGGGCGGGCACATGGGAGGGCGGGGGCTGCGGCCCTCCAGGCTAGACCACCGACCCCAATGGGGGTGAGCGGGCTCAGGGCTCCTGCAGATCGCTCGTGCTTCTCGTTCTTAGAGACCGGGTTACCACTTCCAGGCTCGGTTCTATCAAAATCTCACGGGTCACAGCAGAAGGTAAAGGAATGCACAGCTGCCACTCCCTCCCTCCTGCTCTCCCCCCCACGGCCTGGACCATATGGTACATTCCAGAATAACCAAAGGAGTAGGCGAGGAAAGAGGTGATTGGCTGGGAATCTTGTTAGGGGCGAGAAGCCACACAAAACGGCCAACTGGATAACACTGGGGGCATATCAAAACCGGCCAGACCTGGGACTGGAGGACGCCCTTAAAGGGGACTTGTTTGTTGCTCTCAGAAGCCGCCACCAAACAAAGCTAGAATTCTCTTCCTGATCTCATCCAGATGGGACAGATAGAGATGTGTCGATTTCCGGGAGGAAAGCTATGGAAAACTTTGGAGAATTGAAATCTACTATATGACTTTGAGTGGGTAACGCCAACTCCCTGCCTCAGTTTCCTTTTCCAATCCAATGAGGACGTTAGACCACACTTGACCTCTAGGAAGCCTTTCTCTTATTTCCTCATCCCTTGCATGAGATTATTAATCTCTTCAATTCCAGGCATCTTGAGTTTTGGTTGGAAGAGGGTAGACCTTCTAACACCACACCTTCACAGACGTTAGCCTATAGTTTCTTCTCGCGGGAAGGTAGGTTGAATATTCTTTTGAGGCCCTTACATATGTTAAAGAAGAGCATTCTTCTACCCGGGTGTGTAGACCCCGCCTCCTAAGGTCTGTGTTCCCAGAGGCTGACGTAGCTTCTGTTAATTCTTCACTGGACTGCTGGACTGTGCTGGATTCCGGCCTTCAGCAACAAATCCACGGCTGATGACCCTTGGGCCCTGCTGAAGAGTGTTCCTGGCTGGTGTGTAGTACACCACTCAACTACGCAGGATTCCCGGTTCTCTCAGTAGCCCTCCATGTCTAGCTGAAGACCTCGCGAACATTCCTGAAGGCCTTGTCTGTTCCGTTTTGGACTATCACCCCAGAAAGCCAGAACTGCCTCAGACCCATTGCTCTGTACATTTTTTAAAACTTATTATTTGTGGGGTGCCGGCGGGCACGTGTGAAGGTCAGAGGACAACTTTCAGGAATCAGTTCTCTCCTTCTACCATGGGTCCTTAGGGATCAAATTTGGTGACCAATGCGTTTTACTGATGAACTCTCTCGCAGGCCCTCCACTTCCTTCATTTCAGAAATTTTCAGCCTGTGGTCCTCAGCGTCCAAACTGTACGGATGCCTTTCCTAAGAGAGTTCCACTTGCAGCCAGACAACGCATCTTCCAACCATTGTCCAGAGACTCCCAGAAATCTGGTTCTGATAGGCAGCCTTCCTGGACGGGCTAATGTAGTTGCTGACGTATACGACCTCCCATTTCTACCTTGTGCCCTCGTGACCCCAATTTTCCATGTTTTCTGCCCCCAGATGTAGTCCTTTCCCTAGAATCCCACAGCTGCTGCTGCTTGTGTTTATTAACTGTTATGGTTTACATAAGGAGCGTCCTTCGGAAAGGCTCCCGTCTTTGCTGCTGGGTCCCCAGCTGGTTTGCTATTTTGGGAGGTGCTGGAAACTTTAGGAGGCAGGGCCTAACTGGATGAAGTAGGTCTTTAGGAGTCAGGCCTTGGAGTTATCTTGCCCCTGACCTCTTCCTGTCTTTCTGCTCACTATCCACCGTGAGGTGCACGTGTTCCTGCTACCCTGCTCCTCTGCTTGTGTGCAGGGGCCCTAAGTCAACGGAGCCAGGAACCAAAGATGGAAACCCACGAATTAAAAGAATTCCTCCCTTAGACTGTTTATGTGAGGTATGTTTGTGTGAAGAAACTGACTAACCAGAACCGTATATCTTACGTGCTGGGGAAGAGCGTTATTTCCATCCTGAGAGAAAAACAGTGTGGAGGAGCTAGCTCATCAGTGCACGGAGAAGCCTGGCTCTAGTGGCTACCCTCAGAATCCTACAGCAAGCCCTGTGCTGGGGACGGGGAAGGGGGAGGGTTGAGGTGAGGGGTTGTTTTGTTGTTAGCTTGACATATGCCAGGAGTATTTGGGAATCTCAACTAAGGAAGTACCTCCGTCAGATTGGCCTGTAGGGAAGTCTGTGAGGCATTTTCTTGATTAATGATTGATTTAAGAGGACCCAGCCAACTGTGGGCAGTGCCACCCTTGGGCAAGTGGGTCCTGGAGTATGTAAGAAAGCAGGCTGAACAATGTGGGGAGCACGGCAGTAATCAGCACCCGTCCACGGCCTCTGCATCAGTTCCTTCCTGGCATCTAGTCATGATGGACTACAGCTATAAGCTGAAAGAAACACTTTCCTCAAGTTGGTTTTGGTCACGGTGGGTTGTTTCTTTTTTTTTTTTTTATCATAACAACTGAAAACAAACCAAGACAAACGTTGTCCCCTATTTTTCATAAATCTACAACACTCTAATAAGAGATCATGCCAGGGCTGGGGGCCCTAGGTAGAGTGAATACTTGGCTTGCTGGAAGCCCCAGGTTTGATCCCAAACAAAAGAGAGGGAAAGGGGGAGAAAAAGAAGCAAGGATGGGAAGAGAGCAGAGGGGGAAAGAATGTCAAACACACACTTCTGTTTCTGTATGTAGAATATCATTTGAACGGTAAAGCAGGCTGTGTGAAACTCAGGCCGAAGTTTATCTCCGAAAGGAATGAAACAGCAGCTCACATAGCAGCCCGACATGGCCGAGGTTAAGAAAACTCCTAAATATGACTGTCTGTCCCTTGGTAGGCAGAGGCAGCAACGGTCGCAAGTTCCAGGTCAGCCTGGTGTATGTTCTGAGATCCTGCCTGAGCAAAACCAGAGCTTTGGGCTGTAACTCGGTATACACATCGCCTTGGGTTCCGTCCCCGAGACCTCCAAAGCAAAATAAACGGAGCCTGGTCTTCCAAACTGTATGTTCTGTCCGCTGCAATCTCCCACTCCCTCAAAATCCTTTTACAACATGTAACAACTAGGCAACACTTGTAAGCACCAAGGAAAGAAATACAGAATAGCAAAATCTGCGAGGACAGGTTCAGGGGCTATGGTAGAAGAGATGCTCACCCTGAGTGTGTTACGTCTCTGCAATGTTGGCATGTTCGGTGGCAGAAGAAGAGAAAGTGTTCCCACCACCTGGCATGCTTGGAGCTGAAATGAGCTCTCTGAGCTTCCATGAGGAAGGGCAGTGTGTATTGCCTCTGCACCAAGTGTTTAGTAAAAATATTCCACCCCCCTAGCAGTTAGACTACAACCCTGAAAATGCAGGCTGTGCTAATTGTTTTCTTTTTTTGAGACAGGGTTTCCTCTGTGTAGCTCTGGAACTCACTCTGTGGACTCAGAAATCTGCCTGCCTCTGTCTCCTGAGTGCTGGGATTAAAGGTGTGTGCCTCCCTGTCTTAAAAGAAAAAAGTATTTAAATTGTATTTATTTGTGTGTGTGTAAGTCAGAAGACAACTTGTGTTCTGTCCTTCCAGCATCTGAGTCCCGATTACAGAACAGATTGATTACAGATTGGCAGGCTTGATTGCAAACCTCTTGCCAGCCCACGCTCACATGATTTTACTAGTATGTCTCCCTGTTGCTAGGGTTTCGTCCTTAAGGTCCCACCAGGGAATTCCCAAGCTTCCTATAACTAAGAAACTCCCATAATGCTTTGGACAGGCTCAGATGTTGGATAGGAGAATCAAAAAGGAAGGGCAGCATGGTTTAGAAGGAACTTCATTCCTGACCTGTATCCCCTGTCACAGGGATCCAGCAGAGAAAAGGATGAGGTGCTTCAAGTCCTTGCCTCTGGGGCTGGAGAGATGAGTCAGCAGTTAAGAGCACTGGCTGCTCTTCCCGAGGACCCAGGTTCGATTCCCAGACCCCACGTGGCAGCTCACAACCACATGTAACTCCAGGGGATCTGAAGTCCTTTCTTTTGGCCTCCAGAGACACCAAGCATGCACCTGGGACACAGCATTACATGCAGGCAAAACACCCATATACATAATAATAATAATAATAATGATAATAATAATAATAATAATAATAAAGTAACCTTTAAAAACATCTTTGCCTTCCTCTTCTATACCAAAGTCCTAGCTTTGAACTAGCCCAGTCTGCTGAAAGACAGCTAAGGGATGCATGGGTGGCAGTGTCCCAGGACTGGAGACATCCCTGGGCTCTGAGTTTATCCCTAGACTGCTTTTTTTTCTTCTTTTTTTTTAAATATTTATTTATTTATTATGTATACAATATTCTGTCTGCATGTATGTCTGCAGGCCAGAGGAGGGCGCCAGACCTCATTACAGATGGTTGTGAGCCACCATGTGGTTGCCGGGAATTGAACTCAGGATCTTTGGAAGAGCAGGCAATGCTCTTAACCACTGAGCCATCTCTCCAGCCCCTCCCTAGACTGCTTTAACACACACACACACACACACACACACACACACACAGAGTAATTTTTAGTTTATGTGTTTTTTGCCCTGCCGGTAGGCAGAAAGAAAAATTAAATACAACTTGACAAAAATCACGTATCTATGTCTGCATCGGTTTTTTCACAGAGCAATAGTCCCAAAGCTGAGAAAGGGTTTTTCAGACTCGCAGGCCTGCATCTGCTTACAAGAGTCAGGAGTTCTACATAGCAATTGCAGGTAAAACCAAGATGGGACTGTGGAGAGGAAATCAGTTGCCAAAGCCACCGTGCAAACTAGAGCCACCAGCTCACTGACTACTGCAGAATCCTAGGGTCCCACTGGCCTCGGGGAGAGACTTCCCATTCTAGCTTCAGAGGGGTTCTGACCAGCTCTAGAAACTAAGCAACTCTTACCAACAAGGTTTTTGGTTTTCCTGGGCTTATGTCTTTATTTTAAGGTTAG